AAGTGAAACACGTCGGGGAACTTGATCGACGTCAATAAAGAAGATTTTTCTAAATGCCTACGCCGACGTTCATTTTTATATCGACAGCTGGGTCGAATTATATTGAATATTGTACCAAATGGCATACTCCATGTGTCGTTTTCGTACAATAATTATAAAGAAATCGAAGTAAAACTCCAGAAATCCTCTGGATTCATGTTTTCTGGGGCCCTAATTGACTGCAGAGGGACCCCCTGCGATATCTGTGATTTCCAGGTCAATTAAATTTTCACTCCGAGACCGCGTATTCCTATCGTTTTAGCATAGAAGCGCATACAACACTTTTTTTGCCTTTATCCCGTTCAAATGCGAGTTTATCGATTACCAGAGTGTTCTAAATTCTCGTAAAATTGTCCTGACCCTTTAGATTCTCATATCAGAGCCTTCGATAATTGTATATTGATCGAAATATGAGAGCTCGACGCCATTTTGGTTCTGGTCTGGGCGAAGTTAAAGAATTTTGTCCAAAAATCCAAATTTTCAATGTGTCAGGACAATTCTTAGATGATCAGGAGTGACGTGTCAAAGTTTCGAACGGTTTGGTCTAATACCCTTAAAAAAAAGTGTCGTATTCGAATCGACTGAATTGAAGGGGGTTTCACTTCACCTTAATCTCTCCCCACCACGTTACGAGGAAATGCGAGCCAAGACCAAGATTATCCCTAATAGGTGTGAGATCAACGGCAAGATTGTAATGCTCGTCTGTATCTCCTGGTGACGAACAAATCCTCGAAGGTGCTAAGGATGCCGTATACGTGTATGTACACTGTCTCGGAAAGATTGCAAATGCATGGCTGCAAGACCGAGACCGAATTTGCTCGTCCGTAGGTCGGGATCGGAAGCTCGGCTGATAAGGCCCGATCTCTCTCGGTTTATCGGTCGACGATGGTGGCGCTCTCTCGTTGACACTTGAAACGCCGCGGCGGGCGCCATGGAAATCGGCCTTTGCGTAGTCACAACAAGGCGAGCGTGCAACGGGCGGCACGCGCGCGCGTGTTGGTCATACCGTGTACGTACACGCGCGATCCCGACCGTCGCAGCCGGGATACGCGCCCAAGTGTGTTGGGCTCTCTGCCCCCGTGGTGTGCGTACTCGGCCAGACAAGGTCATTCATAAGTAGCTCAAGTTCAGCCAATAGTATTGTATTACGATACCTACGGCATACGCTCTCCGGCGAGAGCTCGCCGGGTATGTACCCGGCTACGCGTAGGACTCCTTGCGGGAGGCGCGAATTCAAAATGGCCGCCGGGAAGGGGAAACGCGCGAAATCGTAAGCTGGGATTTTGGTGGCGCGATTGGACACACTCGGATTGCGGTGGACTCGGAATAGGTGCGGAATAAAAATGCTCACCTGTGAAGAAAGCGTATTTCGGGATCTGATGTCTTCTACCTAATGGAGATGACAGAACTTTGACGTTGTATTTGGGTACTGCGCACCCTTCGCTGGACTCGTGAATTCAAGATGGCTGCCAAGGAGGGAAGCGCGCGAAGTGGGCGACTGGGATTTTGAGGGCGCGATTGGGGACACTCGGATTGCGGTGGACTCGGAGTAGGTGCGGAATAAAAACGCTCACTTGTGAAGAAAGCGTATTTCGGGATCTGATGTCTTCTACCTAATGGAGATGACGGAAATTTGGCGTTGTATGTGGGTACTGCGCACCCTTCGCTGGACTCGTGAAGGGAAGCGCGCGAAGTGGGCGGCTGGTACTTTGAGGGCGCGATTGGGTGCGCTGAAATTCTGCTGGACTCGTGATAGGAAGGAATTAAAAATGGCCGCCGGGGAAGAAAGCCTGTTCCTGGATCCGAACTCTTCTCCCTGGCGGAAGTGGGTTGTGTAGGATTTAGGCAGTTTGCCGCGAATCGCATCCTGCCCGAGAGAGGCCCAGAGATGGCGATTTGCGGTTAAACACCATGGCACCGAATCGAGGAACTAAGGTCGGAAACTCGACACGCGGCATGGTCGTGCCATGGGGCTCGACATCTGTCCGGAAGTGGCTCTCCCACCGACCGCTGCAGGCTATTTCCACGTCCACGTGGACGTGGTTGCAGCCACTCTGCCCTGTCATGGGACGGTTCTTGACCCGGGTACTCCGGTGGCATAAGTTTCCTCCCTTTCGATGGTGTTCACGGTGGACGCGCAACGTCGCGGGCATGGGAAGGTAACGGGGCGTCCGGGCGGCCCGGGGTCTTGACTTCGGCGTCTAGACGGGCCCCCGTACACGGCTAAATTACGGTTCGATTAACCGGGGGACGGGGCCCGACAAAAGAAACTAGAGAAGGCCCCGGGCAGGGCGGAGGTACAATGCGCCGTAGGTGGAGGCCCTCGGCCGAGAGGCCGCCTCTGACTTTTCCTTTCGGGCCAAGTCGGGCACAAAAAGTCCCCGCTCCTGGGATCCTCCGGATGAAAGGGCCCCGGGCCCCCCGGGACATTCGACGCCGCGTCACCGGGGGAAACCGGAGGAGACGGCCACTCTTTCTCCCCTCCGAACCCTCGAGGACGCTCCTCCTTTGAGTTCTCTCCATTCTCCGGTTAGGTGCCAACGACGCCTCCCTACGAGATCCTCGCTATCGGCACGCCGAAAAGAGAAAAATAACAATTCCGTCCATCCGAAGAAATAATTAATTCGGATTAGAATTATTTCCCCTCAAACGAACTCCCACGAATCCGCGGAAATCCGAAAAAACGTTGGATCCCACTTATTCGACTTTTGGTCAAAGAATTATTCCACGAGTTCACCGAGTACTTCTTTGGCACTGTTCGAAGAGATACCTGTTGAATGACATTTTTTCTCTCTCGGGGTACGGACGAACAAACAAGAAATCGGCTGTTTCACTAGTCTGACAGTGATGGGCAATTGCAAGACTTGGTCTTGACCGAGATCGATCTCTCGCGGCAATTGTTGGCGTTGAGCGAATGGCGACCAAACCAACGGCCATTTAATCATATCACTGTGTGGTAATAGATAAGCAACGAGACCGAGACCAAGACCGAGTTTGCTCATCAGCAGCCATTTGGAAGTCCACCTTTCCGGAGTGGCTCGCGAGTCGTTATCGCAGACATTACCGAGCACGTGTACGTACGTGTACTTACTCATCGCTTGGTCCCGACGGTTCCCCTGGGGACCGCCAAGTGCGCGCCGGCGTAAATACGCCCGCGGGTGTGTACGCCGGTGTGTACGCGGGTGCGCAATTGCGCGTGCCGAAGCATACGGAGACTCGTATGGGTAAGGCGCGAAGAGGTCGGGGAAGGGAGGCCGCGCCGGACCTACGCCAACGTCACCCTACACTCGGTGCACCGCGTGCATGCCCCTGTGATGCATCGACACACACGGTGCATGCCTCAACCTCGGTGTCCCAAAAATCCCCGTCGAGTGCCCCCCACCAGCCGCCATTCGGGCCAGCACCCTTCCTCTTCATTCTCGCCGCCCTCCTTTCCCTCTCCGGCGAGGAAGAAGGATAGACGTTTACGGCTTCTCCGGGCACCGCCAACCTCTATACCCGGTGTCCCAGAATTCCCGCCCTTTTCACCGTATCATCGCCGATAACGACGGAATCGAAAAGTCCTCTTCAACTTTTCTCCGCCGTTAACGGTTTGCCCGTGATAATTAATAATAACCCGCTCGAACGTCGATGGCGGAAACATCCAGGAGGGTGCGACGTCGGGTATTTTTAGATTAATTATTACAGGGAGACTGTGCGTCGTGGAGAAATGTTGCATGGGACTTTTTCCTCGGGCTGGAAGGTAGGAAGAGCCTCGCGGCATTGGGGGATTCGATTTTAGGGAGTTTTTGGCTGTGGGGGAATTTATTGTGGCGGGGTGCAGGTGGCCGGCCGCCCGGAAAAGTGGGTGGACTCGGACGGCGGGGACACGCCGAGCCGGGCGAGATAGGAAAGCGAGACGGAGAGAAAGAGGGAGAAAGTGGTGTGTGCACTTTGCACCAAGTGGGACGCTAGATAAGTGTCGCCGGTGTAAGGAGCGACCGGAATCGCTTTACCGTATTTCCCCTCCCGTTAACGTCCACGCATCCGGGGAGGAATGTCGCGCGGGTAACGGCAAACCGAGGTTTCCCGGTTGCGACGCCCGTTAACCCTTTTAGCCCGTTTGGATTTTTCCGCCGTTAAGTACTTTCGCCTTTTGGTACCGATACTCGGTGTCAATCGGCATGTCGGCGAGAATTTTCTCGAGGTATACACGCGGCTTAATTGGCGTTTAATCGGCCGTCTTCTTAATCTCCGGTTAGACTTATTGCGCAGTGGATTGCGCCGCGCATAACTTTCCGCGCCGAACAATGCGGGAAACATTCCGCTGACCAGCGCCGTCATTGCGGCCGCTTCCTTGACGCTGACTCCGGGACGGAAATTCATTCCGTCGCCTAGGTCGGAATGGAAATTCATTCCGGCGCGGATCGCGAGACATCCGCCGGCGGAATTAAAACCAAGCGCCCCGGCGCCGACCTACTCCTAAGACGCGCGAGTCTCCGGACATTGACCTACCCTAATATCGTATGGGACTTATGGAGGTCTCCAACACTTAATCTAATGTAAGGGTATACACCCTGTTAAGAATACTCAGATTATTCGTACCCTGTTAATGCACTGCATCGGGGAGAAATTTCAAGTGTATTATACTCCATTAAGGACGCTCGGGATATTGACCTACCCCAATATGGCGACTCCCAAGACTTAATTCGATGTAAAAGAAATATACCCTGTTAAAAGTATATAGTTCACACACTTTTAGGAGGCTAGGGTCAGTCAAGAAATCAGAAATGAATCCCACATAATTTTGTAAAAGCGTGTATAGGACTCTTGCGGACGAAATTTAAAATATGAATATGATTTCAGTGTAAGGTTGGGATATCTGTGTTTTATTTTTTTTATCCCATAAAGCGCTTAGCTTAGAAGGTGTGCGACAGGTCGCCTAGGAATCGCCATAAACAATTGTATCTCATTGTTTGCAGATGGTGGTGGAGGTTGAGCCGGCGGAGGAGAGCGGCAGGACGGTCCAGGGCGATGTGGCTCAGTGGGGAAACACGAGGAGGTGATGACAGCTTTTGACAGCCTTTGACGATACCTCGGAGCTCGGCGACACATTACCCATGGTGAACGCATCGAACAAGGGCCACGTGGCGATCTGAAATATATATATACATATATATATATACACCCACATATATATATTTCTCTATATGTATATATATCCTCGCGTGTATATACATATGTATATATGCTGAGAAGAGCAGCGAGAGAGAAAAAAAAAAAAGGGGACGCACGCGGCGGATACGTTGAAACCCCTCTACCTTTGAGATATACCTCACGTACACCTACAAGTACCTTCGAAGAAAAGAGAAGAACCTCTCTGACAAGCGCAATAGTGCCTAGCCCGAGACGCACCTAATGTTATTACAAAGAAAGCCAGAGTTAATACGATTACGCTAGAGCGTCGATATTGTTGCACCGCTCCGCCACCGAAGCTTTCCTCTCGCCTCCGGATATTCTCCCCTGCTCTCTTTCTCTCTACCTTTCTCTCTCTCTCTCTTTTTCGCTATATCCTCCGTCATTCTCTGTCCCTACCTGTCCCGTCTCCGTTACCATTCCTCATCTGCCGTCCTCCGGAATTATTCCGACCCTTCCCCCGACCCTAAAGTGACGCCGCGACGCCTCGACGGGACGCGCGTATCATCCACCCGGGGCAACAATATACGAGCCGAGGACGAACCAGGACAGCAGTACCTGCAGACAGATATATTTATTATAATAGAGCTAGAGAAGAGGGGGAGGAGATCGGAAGAGGAGGCGCCGCTTCGAGTGAATGTGCTCCTCTAGGACTGCATCCGCTGCAACGACCCGATCAGCTGACCGCAAGCAGTAAGAGATCAAGGTATGCAACAAAGTCATTCTCGGGATACCTTAATGTAGCTTTAACTACTTCCGCCGGAGACACCTAGACACCTGCTCGCCCGGAAATTGCCCCCTTGTTTCGAGGTACTATTAACCGAGAGGCGAAAAGAGCGTTCGGGCGCATCTTTAAGGCGATGTGAAAGTGGCGTCGAAGAGGTTTTCTTTATAAAACTTTCCTCCCACCTCGATTTACCGAATAGTTTGAAACTTTACAACGTGAATGGGGAGACTATAAGGAAGGTCCTGAAACTCATGAAATTTCAATTCTTATCAAACATGTTTATAGGTATTTTCAAAGTAGCTTATAAAAAATGAAACTTCGCGAGTTTTAGGACTTACCTTAAGGTCTCCGTATTCACGGTTTAAAGTATGAAACGATTTGAGACACCCAGTTCTATGAAAAGTTTTGTGAACGATTGAGCTTTCGGATGCCACTTTCACATCCCCTTAACCACTTCGGTGCGGATTCATATCACGGCCGTCGACTAAAGTCGACGCTCGGCTGTACGCGTTCATCCGTGGCTGTCGACTATAGTCGACGCTCGTACCGAAGTGGTTAAGGCGTTGTGAAAGTAGCGACCGAAAGAGCGTTGATGAAACTTTTCTACGAACTGGGTCCACCTAATCGTTCGGAAACTTTACCGCGCGAACTCGCAAGCCTCGAGGGAGGTCTCGATATCCATGAATTTTCTTTTAATTTCTTTTTATTATAAGATTTTTAGATTTTTGAGAAATATACGACTCGTTTCGAAAAGTGCAGCACAGAGAGTGCCGCGATTCTTGAAAATGCTGTCGCGGAAGATCGTCGAGATTTCTTCGATTCCACTTTCATATTATGCTTTAAGCCATTGCTTTTTTGAGGTTTATCGGGCCGGCTTTTTAGGCAACTCGTTTCGATAAGTGCAGCACTGGGGGAGGCGCGATTCTCGCAAATGCCGCCGCGGAAGACCAGCCATTGTCCGCGCTCTTACGTGACCGATTCCCCGCGCGCCTGTCGACTCCTGCATTTGCATTTTAAAGCGCAGTACCGGGAATGCACCGGGCACGAACGCTCCCCGATGCACGCCCTATAAAATACGAATGGAAGCCCGCGGACTTAGCAGTTCGCGTATACGGAAATCTTCGTTAGAAGGTAGGCGCCCTTCTGGGCGCGCCTCGCTCCGCATGTAAACCGCTTAAGACTAGAGTCGATAAAACGACGTTTCATTATAATTAATTACCCAGGGTAGATGTAGAATTGCAGGTTCCTCTCCCCGGGATGACCCTCCTCGGTCCAGCGATCCCATCCCAGCATCTATCGAGCATAATGTCACAAGAGACGCAACGTTGCGTATAACCATTCTTCTGGACGGCGCAGCCTCCAGGAGGCGCCGGGAATTTCTTTCCCACCTCCAGGAACATCGCCGAGAATAATGGCGGGAATAATAGAATTCGAGAGAGAACCGAGCATCCGTTACGTTTTACTATCACGATTTGCATACGTCGCGTCGTCGGGGTCCGTGCAGAGGAAAAGTCGCGTCTTAGATTGCCACCTGGGGGAAATCTCGAAGGTACGCTCTGAAGGTCCTAGAAAATTCCGACAAAAAGTTATAGAAAATTTCAGGATAATTCGGGAAAGTGTCCAAGATGGCGGCGAGTCGACCACCTCCGTTCCTCCGGGTCTCATCTGAAAGTTTCTCCGCGTTGTATGAGGTTTTCATATTTTTCTTCCTGGTCCTATTTTTTTTCTTTTTTTTCCCTGGTCTTCTGGGTTTCTTTTCGCCTTTTCACCGCGGGCCTCGCGACGCCCCTGTCCCGAGGGCATTTTTCATAGAGGGCGCGAGTGGCCATTGCTATTCCGTAAGTATAGACGCGGCCGAGGAACGCGTGCCTCGTCGTTGGTGCCGCCTGCCAACTCGGCGCGTCGCGACGCTTCGTCTCCTCTATTTGGACGCCTCGGTTCTTCCGGGTGTTGCCGGGAACGGTCCCGGTTTTCCCTCGACCGGGCGATTCTGCCTCCAGGTGGGACACGTGGTCTTCTTTCTTTTTATTTTTCTTTTCCTTTGGGGGGCAACCCTCGTTTCGTCATCGGGGGGGACGCGGATCGAGGTCGAAGCCTCGCGTGTATTCGCGCGCGCGCGCCACGCATCGTGCGTGGACGTGTGACGTCACGCGACACGCGTACTTGCGACACTTGTTTTGTGACCTGGATATCTCGACGCCCTCCGCCGCGCATACCGGGAACGTCGCCTCGATGCGATCCGAATATCTGGATCGCCGTGACGTCGCCGGACGCCACGTGGCGATGGGAGGCGAGAGGGTCCCTAGTTCGCGCCACGTGGTCAGTCAGTCGTCGGCTGACTACCGAGGAAGGAGGTTCTTAGAGAGGCTCGGTACCAAAGAGGTCTGCAGGAACCATGGTGGCGTTGATAGGAAGAGAGGGTCCCTAGTTCGCGCCACGTGGTCAGTCAGTCGTCGATCGACTACCGAGGGATGAGGTTCTTAGGGAGGCTCGGTACCAAAAAGGTCTACAGGAACTATGGTGGCGTTAATAGGGAGAGAGGGACCCTGCTTCGTGCCACGTGGTCAGTCGTCGATTGACTACCGAGGGAGGAGGTTCTTAGGGAAGCTGGGTACCAATGATCGCCCTGGTCGGTCACCAGCTGACTCCCAAGGAAGACCGCTCTCATGGCACAGCATCCGATCCATCTCGCGGCATCGGGATCTTTCCGAAACCCGGGCCAACCTGGTGGGATCGGCACTCATCGGGAGCGTCGGGACGCCGGCAGCTGCGAGGTGGTGCGGAGGCTGCGGCGTTGAGACTGTATTGATTTCCACTCGGCCCGTCTGGCTGCAGTCTAGTCCATATCCGGTGTGTGTTCTCGTAGCTCGCGGCTCGGTTCCTCCCCTGGGAGCGGAGAGGCCGCAGCGCGGCGCCTGCCCGGGCGCGGGTGGTCCTTGTCTCCGTTATCCGCCGCGGGTTGGGTATTAAAAAAAAAGGAGGGAGAGCCAGGGGAGAAGGAGCAAATGAGAGCGCCAAGGGGAGCGGGGGAAGGAATGAAAAATCCAGATTACGCGCCGCCGAAGTTGGCCGCGCCGGCTAATTGGAGTCGGCCTCTTCGTTGAGCGCAGCGGGCGGCCGTAATTGCGCCCCGTGGAGGGAAACTCGGGATAACCGAGCGTGGATTCAACCCCGGACCGGTGAAAAGTGCCGATGATGATAATGGACGTCGTTTCGACCATTGGTCCGATTCCTCCCAGGGGAGGGTTGGAGCCTCCACCGGTGGACACGGGCGCCGAAGTCCCCGTGGTTCCCATGGTTCCCACGATTCCCACGATTCCCATCGACCCGAAGGTGACCAAGATCCGGATGGTGGTATCCCCTTATCTGCGGACCCGGATAACCTTTCACTACGCCGGCGGAATTGGGAGCGACGATTAATCGATCACCCCACGATAGTAATCCGGAGAATTACGAGGGTCCAAGATCGCCGGTGATCCCTCTCGGTGGAGGGCGAACCCCGGGGTCTACCGAGAGCGGAAACTGCAACCTTATCGGGGACTTATCGAGGAACTTACGGCCGAGATCGAGGTGCCGGAAGCTGGACCCGTCGAAGGCCATCGGGCTGGCCGCCGTCGAGACGCCTTTAGCCCGATGAGACGGAACCGGAGTGGATTGAATCTCTCCTTTGGGGTTCTTCGGAGCCCTTCAAAGAACTTCTCCGGGGAGATCGTGTCTCTCCTCCTCGCATTGCGTGCTCCACTCCGCTTAGTCAGACTCTTACTCATCCCGGATGACGCGGACCCATGCCGGAAGTCGATCGAAGCGATCCGTGGATGTTGATTCGTGACGCACTTTCCCTAGAGGGGATTGCGCCGATCCTAATCGACGCCGATTGCCGCCTCGGCGGCTTCCGAGATGGCATGCTCGAGGAGATCGGGGCTAAATGTCCGAGCTGGGCTTACTTATTGCCATGGTTTAGTGATCCGATGACTGTATCGCGGGGATATATCGCCCCGGGCTCCTCGCAGAAGGGCGAACCGCGCCGGGTAGATGCGAAAAACCGCTCGCTCGAGTTACCTCGCGACCGGTGACTCGATACCCTAGTTGGTAGCCACACGTGTCGCCGGGGACCACGTTACTTCTCACCTTACGACACGAGACGCAAGATGCAAAACGCAAGACCCGGTACACAAGAGGTGGACGCGCGCCTTTACGCGCCTCCGCGTTTTCCGTCCGACTCGCGAGTCCCGCGCCGCCATCTTGGTCTCCAGAGACTTGTCTTCGCCCCTGTCGCTCAATTATTAAAATTCCTTTTTCATACCTCTAAATCTAACGAGCGCATTCATTTTACGCATTTCGGGTTATTTAACATACCCGGGAAATGTGCTCATCTCGGCGGGGGGCCACGTTAGTTGATTGATCTTAAGACACAAACGGCGGCCATCTTGGTCCGAGGTATTCCACGACCCTTTTCTTTATCTCTTTATTTTTCTTCATTTCATTAGTCACACTTCGGAGTGTAACGCGTCAACTTATTGTGCCGCATTTTCTATATTTTTTTTCCTCCACAAGAAGTGTACGCGCGCCTTTACGCGCCTCCGCTTTTTCCATCCCGCGAGTCCGGCGCCGCCATCTTGGTCTCCAGAGACTTGTCTTCGCCCTTGTCGCCCAATTATTAAAATTCATTTCTCATACCTCTAAATCTAACGAGCGCATTCATTTTACGCATTTCGGGTGATTTAACATTCCCGGGAAATGTGCTCATCTCGGCGGGGGGCCACGTTAGTTGATTCATCTTAAGACACAAACGGCGGCCATCTTGGCCCGGGGTATTTTACGACCCTTTTCTTTATCTCTTTATTTTTCTTCATTTCATTAGTCACACTTCGGAATGTAACGCGTCAACTTATTGTCCCGCATTTTCTATATTTTTTTTCTTCCACCTCGCGACCTAAGTGCCGCAGCGGGAACGCCCAGACGAGAGACGGCTTCTTCGA